ACACACACACTCATACTCTGAACATCTCCTTTGCTAAACATTATCAATCCCAATAACAACAGCGACCCCATGGGCAAGGCGGCCGTACCTAGAACCTTTCCTGATGGTGCCGGAGCGTCTCTTGGTAGCGGCGATGACCAGGAGATCCGAGAAGAGGAAGAGGCAGCGTTCCTTCCTCGTGCCAAGACCCGAGTGCATCGTCACAAGGTCATGGCGGAGGTACGTCCTGTGGAGAAGACACAGATACGTGGTTATCTTTGTGGCTGGTTGACTGATTGATTGACTGATTGATTGAATGACTGGCTGACTGAATGAATGAATGAATGAGTGAGTGAATGGCTGACTGACTGACTGTCTGAATGAATGTCTAACTGACTGACTGACTGAATGAATGAATGAATGAATGAATGAATGAGTGAGTGAGTGACTGGCTGACTGACTGTCTGAATGAATGTCTAACTGACTGACTGACTGACTGAATGAATGTATGACTGGCTGACTGATTGACTGATTGATTGAATGACTGGCTGATTGAATGAATGAATGAATGACTGGCTGACTGATTGACTGATTGATTGAATGACTGGCTGACTGAATGAATGATGAATGAATGAATGAGTGAATGACTGACTGACTGAATGAATGATGACTGACTGATTGATTGAATGACTGGCTGATTGAATGAATGAATGAATGAATGAGTGAATGACTGGCTGACTGACTGACTGAATGAATGATTAACTGACTGAATGAATGAATGAATGAATGAATGACTGGCTGACTGACTGACTGACTGGCGACTGACTGATTGACTGATTGAATGAATGAATGAATGAGTGAATGACTGCTGATGACTGACTGACCGAATGATTGACTTGAATTGAATGAATGAGTGAATGACTGGCTGACTGACTGACTGTGAATGATTGATGATTGAATGAATGAATGAATGAGTGAAATGACTGCTGACTGCTTGAATGACTGACTGACTGACTGAATGAATGACTGGCTGACTGAATGAATGACTGATTTGAATGAATGAATGACTGACTGACTGAATGAATGATGAATGTCTAACTGACTGACTGAATGACTGACTGACTGACTGACTGACTGAATGAATGACTGACTGACTGACTGACTGATTAATGACTTTAATGGCTGACTGACTCTCTATCCTGTATATATACATATACACCTAAAAAAAAAAAAAAAAAAAAAAAAATCATATTGATAAAGTACCTATCAGGCTGCACCAGACCGTCCAAGCCCTCGATGGTATTCTCGAGCTCCTTCAGCAAGAGCTGCTGCTGCTCCAGCTGCAGCGCCTCCTGCTCGGAAGCGTTGATCCTGGAGGCGATCTGCAGCACCATGACGATGGCTTCGGTCAAGAGGGCGTGGTCAGGGTGGTCACGACTCGTGTGCTTTAGCAGACGCTGGAGAAGGAACGACAGATGTGTTTCATTATAAATTTACTCTTTCTCTCCTAAAGAAACACAATAATACAGTTTGTGACACAGAACTCTTCACAAAGATGTCACAGAACGATATTTTTTTTTTTATAAAAAGGAAACCAACCTTCATCAACAGCTCGAACTGTGGGAAGCGCTGAACGGGTTTGATAAGGAGGGCTTTCAGGTCCAGCTTTCCATGATGCTCCCTCGCCCGGGCCTGAAAGATAATTTTTTTGAAAGATCTCGTTTCTAAATTCTATGCAACTGCGTAATCAATCCAAAGTTTAGATTCTCTTTTAATGCCCTTCATCTTATGATAAGTCTTCATTCTTTTCGGAAATTCTCTTTTAATGCCTTCATCTTATGATAAATCCATTTTTTTTTTTCGGTTCCCCTCTCGAGATCACGCGATAAAATCTACGGACACATCGCGCCCGGTTTCACTTACCCGACTGCATGTCTTTTAAATGATATATTTTAAATCGTAATAACTTTATGATCTAGATTTACATTGTAATACTATCATATAATGCTTTGACCATGCACCAAATGTACCACAGCTTGCCCACGCCTGCGCAGTTAGCCAGGGTGGTAAATAAACGACTAAACTAAAAAAAAAAACGACTGCATGACTCGATAAAAAAACGGTATCCTGAGACCGAGTATTTCCGGTGATTCATTGCTTGGCTAAACGTCTTTCACAAACTCTGATAGCTCAATTCATCACCCAGAGACTTCCCTCCACATGCACGTTATACCCTCCTCTCCCCGACAATAAATCTTACCTCAAACCGACCGACCATTCATCATTAGAAAACTGCTCGTTATACATTCTGCATCTTAAGTTAATGGCTTTGCCCAAGGTCTCTTTGCCTTTCCGGAAGCATTTTCTGAACTCTGAACTAATCAGAAGAGTTTTCGTTAACGGGGAGCATTTAAATCAATTCAGAGGCGTTTGCATGAAAGCATCTAATTGAAAGTTTGGTTAACACTGCGGCATTGTTGCGGCAGAAAAGGCTTTCCACAGATAAAGCTCTCTCTCCCTCTCTCTCTCTTTCTCACTCTTTCTCACATCTTCTCTCTATCTCTCTCATCTATCTATCTATCTATCTATCTATCTATCATCTATCTATCTATCTATCTAATCTATCTATCTCTATCTATCTCTATCTATCTATCTATCTATCTATCTATCATACTATATATACTATATATATATATATATATATATAATAGTATATATATAAATATATATATATATATATATATATATTCTCTCTCTCTCTCTCTCTCTCTCTCTCTCTCTCTCTCCTCTCTCTCTCTCTCTCTCTCTCATTCTCTCTCTCTCTCTCTCTCTCTCTCTCTCTGATCTCACTATCACTCCCACTCGCCCCTCCTCTCTCCACCAACACTGCTCCAACCTACCCTCAACCCTTACTCTCACTCCCACTCTCCCCCTCTTCCCTTTTCATCCCTCTGCCAACACTCCTCTCAGTCTCTCACTCGCACTCG